AGAAATAAGCTAGCAAGTCCTAAAAGGATATGGAAGAAACTTAAACGCTTAGTATTAATTGAAAGGAATAGCCTGCATACTGCATGATTCCAACTATATGACATTCTGGAAAAGCCAAAACTATGGTGAAGATAAATATATAAGTGATTGCCAGGGATTAGGGTGGAAGGAGGTAAAAAGACAGAGCATAGAGGATTTTTAGGGCAATGAAACTACTCTATAATACTATAAAAGTGGATATCACTATATATTTGTGCAACCCCATAGCAATACTGAGTGAACCACAATGTGAACTATGGACTTTGGATGTTAATGACATTTCAATGTAGGTTCATAATTTGTAATAAATGTATCACTCTGGTGAAGGATAGTGATAATGGCAGCAGCTGTGCTGTGTGCAGACAGGCAGTAGTATGGGAAATCTCTGCACCTCTGCTCCATTCTGGTGTGAAACTAAAACTGCTTCAAAATATGAAATCAATCTAAAAAAAGTAATCCATATCAAAAGTCATCTAGATTTTCTTCTATGATATCCTCTAGGAATTTTATAGTTTTGTGTTTTATATATGAGTTATTTTTTGAAGACTGTTAGGTCTGTATGTAGAAGCAATTTTTTTTTTTTGCATGTGGATGTCCAGATGTCCAATTGCTCCAGCAACGTTTGTTGAAATGATTATCTTGGTCCTTCTCAAAGATCAGTTGGCTGTATTTATGTGGGTCTATTTCTGGACTTTCTATTCTATTGCACTGATCTGTGTGTCTATTCTCTCACCAATGCCACTGTTTCAATTACTATAAGTTTCTAGTAAGTCTTATAGTCCAATGGTGTCAATCTTCTAGTTTGTTCTTCTCCAACATTGAGTTGACTCTTTTGGTTATTTGCACCAATGGCCTTGGAGAAGACTCCACATGCTTGTTTAGCTTTTTCAGCAAGTAGAGGCAGAAATGCTTAGATCTCTGGAGAGCCTGCAGGGTTCAGCTTCTATCACTGACCCAGGGAGACCTCTAGGCACCATTTCCGGCCAATATTCCATGAGCACGAAACCTCTGCAGATTTTTAACAGTGATTATTTTTGGATGGAAGCATTGGAGATTCTTTTCTTGCTTTATAATTTCATGTTCTCCAACATTTGTTGTCCATTGAAAGGTAGCATCTGTGTGGTGGTAATAAATTGAAAAGACAGATTCTTTGTTCCTAGGGGCTGGGGGATGAGAGTTCTGATGTGTGTACTGTGCTCAGCTCTGTGACCATTTGTGCATACCCATTACCGAACAAAGGGTGTGGAATAGACACAGCCACTGGGAATTTTTGTGAGCTGGGAGCCCTTCCAGTCTAGTTCTATAAATTTTGGCTAGGACAGAGAAATTCTCCCCTCAAGAAATTCTAGGTAAACAGGGGAAAAGAATGCAGTAAACAGGCATAGGGGCATCCCCACCACATACACCTGAGGCCCCACTCCCCTGTAAATCCCAGCAGCAGAGTCAGCAGCAGGGATGGCAGAGGTGGGCACAGAGGGGAGGCAGGGACAGGCATTGTGGTGGCCCCTGGAGCCTTCTCTGTCTGAGTGTTGTCCTGGAGAGGCCCAGTACTCTCTGCTTTGAGGAGAGAAGACACTCCCTGCCTCCATGATGTCAGAGGAAGGGGATTATGATGAAGGAATTACCATGGGAGTTTTGACACTTTTTCTTTGAGATTATCAAATGGACAGGCAAGGTGGCCACAAACTGAGAAGCTCCTGCTCCAATTGCTTGGGATTTCCAGAGTTAAGGGCATGATATCCACAAGCTTATGCTCATTCCTGAGCCTCATCCCATCTGAGGTCTCACCAACCTGCACCCTTGCTGAGGTAGAAGCCCAGAGACATGGTGTGGAAAAGAGGTTAGAGTTTTGGAGATGGTGATGATTTGTGATTTAGAGGATGGAGGGTGCTAAAAGGAAGGTGGACCTGGGGGAACACTCTGCAAGAGGGAAAGCAACACACATGGAAGGTGAGGGTTGCCTCTGCTGTCTGTGCTGCGTCTGGGCTAGCTCTGGAGGAAAGGAGCGGAGGGACAGAAGGAATGCTCTCAGAATGAGAGTGGAACCAGCATGTTGGCCTCCTCCTCTCACCTCTGGAATGAGCTCTATCAAACCACCAAGGTTATGTCCAGTACACTCAGCCCACACTCAGCTAGTGACCCTCTAATGTCCACCAGTCCATACTCAGGCACTGAATGTTAGGGCTATTTTGCTATTGCTTCCTTGTTAGCTCCACATCCTCTTAGATATCGACCGGATGTAAAGGCCAGGAGAGGTGTTAGAACAAGAGGAGAATGCAGAACAGGCCTAAACTGCTTATAGGAGATGACAAGACTGCCCCCCCCCGTGATGTCACCATCTTATCACATTGTTCTGGAATGAGGAATTCCATGCTGGGAAGCCATCCATGGCCCCTGCTGAGAGCTGGACAGGATCTTTCCTCCAACCTCCAGCATCCTCCCCTTCAAAGCACCTCCAACAGACTTCAAACCTTCCATTCCAGTCTAAACTCTTCAGACCCTGGGATTTTTAGTGCCTTGATTGTCAAGAGCACTGGCTTTGCAAACAGATGCAATCTAGGTTCAAATCTTGAACCCACTTCTTGGTGGCTGAACTGTATAACTTTTACTTTGAAATTTTCATTTATTTAGCTCAAATATTCAAAACTGAGTTCATAGTCTGCAGTCTGGACATTCTCTTCTTCCCTTACACCCTGTTCAGTATGTTGCACATCCTCTACCCATTTGGTCAAACCAAGAAGGACCCATATTCTAAACCCTCACTCGTCCCCTCGTGTCTGTCCCCCACCAGCCTCTATTAGTTTTACCTCCTAAACTAACCTCTAGAATCTATGTCTCTATCTCCATCATCATCTCTTGCCTGAATAAAAACTATTACTTCCTAGTAGGCTATCTCAACTCTTTTGCCTGTTGTAAGCTCTTCCTTCTCCTTCATCAAGGGTGGTCTTCTACAACACAGATCTGAGTACACCCCTCTCTTGCATAAACCGTTTTGTGAATTCTCATTGCTCTTGTACAGTAAGACTGTTTGGTATATGGTATATGGTGCATGGCATATGGTATGTGGTATGTGGTACATGGTATGTGGTATATAGTATACAATATATTGTATATGACATGTATTTGGTATGTGGTATATGGCATATGATATACAGTAAATGGTATGTGGTAGTGTAAACAATCCATCATTCCATGACTGGCATGGCCCCTAGAAACAAATGGATCTCCACCTTTTCTGGTACCCACCACAGCTTCTCTCTTCCACATCAGGTTCCCTGGGAAACAATCACTGAGATGAATATTAACAAGCAGGTCATTTTCAGGGAGTACTTTAGGATCCAATGGTAGCTAGGAGGAGAAGGGAGAGGAATTGTTTAGAAATTGAGCTGCAGTGAAGGCCCAATGAAGACCTCAGCTGATCTCCCGTGGAGCTCTGATACTAGGATGTTCCTTTGGAGTTCTCCTGAGCTGGGTTGAGAGGCTGGACCCTTACATCCCCATGTTGATGAGCCACAGGATGTGGCCATGTCCCAGGCATGACCTTGGGCATGGTAGCTCTCCTTAGCGGAGACCATCCCAAAGAGAGCTGACAGTTAAGGGGCATCTCCTCAGGCCTGGTGCATCACAGCCTCCACCACCCTCTGCACAGCCCCTTCCACCTCAACTCCTTGGGCTCAGGACATGGATTAACTGCATCCCCCACGGAGGTCTTAAAGCTAACCCACCTCACTCAAGGGCCCAGAGTTCCCTTACCCCACTTGGTCTAACCTGGTCTTTACTAATTGGAAACATTTAGTATGAATATTGTGGGTGACTGAGAAGCAGGTTCTTCTGGGATCTCTGGCTTTGGAGTGAGCTCTAGCAGAGGACTGAGGAAGGAGGAGGGACCTTAGACTTGTCAAGTAAGATAAAACTTGGGTATAGAAACACAGACATCCCCCACCACACATTTCCTTAAATTGCCCTCCAAGGGGATGCAAGAGGCAGACACACATCTGAGGACAAGATGTTGACATTTTTTTTTAATACAGTTACTTTTTTGGAGCAGTTTTACATTTAGAGAAAAATTACCACAATCACACAGAGTTCCAATCTATAGCTGCATACAGTTTCCCCTCTTTTTAGCATTTTACAGTAATTTGTTGCATCTATTATAATTAGGGAACCAATATTGGTACATTATTATTAACCAAAATCTGTAGTTTATTTTGATTTTGTCTTAGCTTGGGTGGCTATAACAATACAGCATAAACTGGTTGCCTTGAAACAATAGGAACTTATTTCTCATAGTCCTGGAGGCTGGAAGTCTGAGATCAGGGTGCCAGGATAGTTGGGTTGTGATGACAACCCTCCTTGCAGTTGCAGACTGCCAACTACTTGCATTCTCACGTGGTGGATAGGGTGAGCTGGCTATCTGGCCCCTTTTCATGAGAGCAGTGATCCCATTCATGAGGACACCACCCTCATGACCTCATTACCTGTCTGTCTAAGACTCCACCTCCAAATCCAATCACACTGGATATTACATTTCAACACATGAACGTTGGAGAGACACAAATATTCAGTCCAGAAGAAATACCCTTAGTTTTTACCCCATGTCCCTTTCTGTTCCAGAATTCCATGGAGGATACCACATTACATTTTTTTTGTCATGTCTCTTTAGGCTCCTCTCAGCTGTGAGAGCTTCTTGGACTTTCCTTGTTGGTGATGGCCTGACAGTTTTGAGGAATGCTGCTCAAGTATATCATGGATTGTCCCTCATTGCAATTTGTTAGATGCTTTTCTCATAAGCAGACTGGGGTGATGGGCTTGGGGAGGAAGGTCACAGAGGAAAAGTGCTGTTTTCATCACATTAATCCAGGATACACGCTGTGGCCGTGGTTTGTGACTATCGGTGAACTCGTGATCACCTGGCTGAACTGTATTTTTCAGTTGTCCCCTCTGTAGTTACTCCTTTTTCCTCCTTTCCATTCTGTCTTCTTTGGAGGGTAGTTACCACAAGTGACTGCACTCCAGGAGTAGGCAGTTAGGCTCCCCCTCTGAGGGTGAAGTATCTACATAAATCATTTGGGACTTTTCTGTACAGGACATTTTTTTCTTCTCAGTTTATTAATTTATTCAGTTATTTGCTTATATCAATATGGGCTCAAAGATATTTATTTTATATGTGCGGTTATCATCAGTCTTAGTCATTCATGCAGTTATAACAAAATATCCCAGACTGGGTGGCCAAGAAACAAAAGAAAGTTCTTGCTCATAGTTGTGGAGGCTAGAGTCTGAGATCATGGAGCCATCCTGTTGGGGAGAGAGCCCTCTACAGATTTCTCATTGTGTCCTCATGTGGTCAAAGTGGGGAGCCCTGGGGGGGCTCTTCTGTAAGAGCCCCTCTTCTCTAATCCCACTCATGAAGGTGGAACACTCATGACCTGCTCCTAAACGTGGACTCCTTGTGCTTGAAGGAGCCCAGTGCTCAAATAATTTAGAGATGGTCTCCAAGGGTTCCTCACACTCAGCTGCCTCTCATTCAGCCCCTCTGCCCACTTCCTTCCCAGAATCCCTTAGACTCTGTGCACAGTCTTTGACAGTCTTTGACCCCACCCACCTCTTATAGGCTAAAGCACCCCCCCACATACCTCAGGGAGGTGGGATTCCTGAGACTCCTGAGGATAAGGGAGGTTATCAAGGGAGGTGTGTCACATGCTCTTTACTCCAGTTGGGCACTGACTTTGTGTGACCTGTGGGCTGACTTTTCCTGACCTTGCTCCCTCTGGGACTGACCTTGGCCTGTCCTCCCTGACCCACAACTTACAGTCAGGCCCTTGCTTCTTGTGGGCATAGATGGCAGAGATAGTGATGAGCAGCAGTAGCTTTGGGCCCAGGGTGACAGCCACCAGGAGTGGAGTAGATAGCCTTGGGTCTGGAAAAGAATGGA